ACGGCCGGGCGCGGTGGCTCATGCCTATAATCCCAGCAGTTTGGGAGGCTAAGGTGGCTGGATGGATCACTTGAGGTCAAGAGTTCAAGACCACCCTGGCCAACATGGTGAAACCTTGTCTCTACTAAAAACACATAAATTAGCCAGGCTTGGTGGCACATGCCTATGATCTCAGCTATTTGGGAAGCTGAGGCAGGAGAATTGCTTGAGCAGTGAGCAGAGATTGGGCCACTGCACTGCACTCCAGCCTGGGTGACAAGAGTGAGACTCTGTCTCAAAAAGAAAGAAAGAAAAACACAACAACACACACATGGGCCAGGCATGGTGGTTCATGCCTGTAATCCCAGCACTTTGGGAGGCTGAGGCAGATGGACCATCAGAGGTCAGGAATTTGAGACCGGCCTGGCTAACCTGTTGAAACTCCATCTGTACTAAAAATACAAAAATTGACCGGGGGTGCTTGTGAGCACCTGTAATCCCAGCTACTTGGGAGGCTGAGGCATGAGAATCGCTTGAACCTGGGAGGCAGAGATTGCAGTGAGCTGAGACAATACCACTGCAGTCCAGCCTGAGCAACAGTGAGACTCCATCTCAAAAAAAAAAAAAAAAAGAAAAGAAACACATTTGTCAGTGAAGTTTACATCTTATATGGGCACTAGTCATGGAGCCCCAAAACAATTGCAGTTTTTTATAGATAAGAGGTCTTGCTCTGTTGCCCAGGCTGGTCTCAAACTCCTGACCTCAAGTGATCTGCCCTCCTTGGCCTCCCAAAGTGCTGGGATTACAGGCGTGAGCTACCATCCTCGGCCCCTTTTATCATTTTAGAATGTTCTTCTTTGTTGCTGGTGACAATTTTTGTCTTAAAAACTCTATTCCATTTGTTATGAGTACAGCCGTTGCAGCTCTCTTGGTTCCTGTTTGCATGGTATACCTTTTTCATGCTTTGCCTTTCAATTGATGAGTGTCTTTGTTGTTAGTTTTTTGTCTAAGTTTTGGTTCTCCTTTGCTGCCTTTTAAACACATTTATTAGAATATGTTTAAGAATTCCATTTTAATTTTCCTGTTAGCTTTCTCGGTATCATTTTGTCATTTTTAAAAATAGAAAATAAAGATAATATATATTCCTAACTTTTTACATTCTCTTCTAATGTCTTTTTTCCACATGAAATGCAGAAATCTTGCAACTTCATGTAAGTTGCTGTCATCTCTCGAATTTGCATTATATGTAATACTTCTTCACATGGTGTCAACCCCTGAAGACAATGTTATAAACTTAGTTTTAATCATTTAAGTGGCTTATCAGGAAATTAGGAGGAAAAATGAAAACAGTCTTTTGTATTTATTCAGATGTTTATTATTTCTGTTGCTTCTCAGTCTCTTCTGAGTATTCCAGTTTTCCTGCAGTTTCAGCCCAAAGAAGTTATGCCTTGTAGAGCTGCTGGTAATGAATTTTTTTAGTGTTTTTTTTTTTTTTTGAGACAGAGTCTCACTCTGTCACCCAGGCTGGAGTACAATGGTGCAGTCTCGGCTTACTGCAGCCTCCTCCTTCTGGGTTCAAGCAATTCTCCTGCCTCAGCTTCCGAGTAGTTGGGATTGCAGGTGTGAGCCACCATGCCTGATCTCTTTGTGTTCTTTTATCTGAAAATATGTCTATTTCACCTTCATTCTTGAGTGATGTTTTTACTCAATATAGAATTTTGGGTTGACAGTTTTTTTTTTTCTTTGAGCGCTTAAGAGATATTCTACTCTTTTTTGGCCTCTGGTTTCTGAAGAGAAGTTATTCATTAAGCAAACAATTGTTCTGGAAGTGACAGGTTACATGTTTCTTGTTCTTCTGGGGGTTTGTGTATATCTGTGTCAGCCGTTTGACTGTGGCGTGCCTTGTGGTGCACTTGTGTTTATTTTGCTTGGTGTTCATCTGACATCTTACCTCTGCAAGTTTCTGTTTGTCATCAAATTTGGGAAGATTTCAGCTATTGAGGAAAGACTTACAGAAATCTTCATGCGTTTTTCTTACTATTTTTTCTGTTTGACATACATTTGATGATTTGTTATCTGACATGTCTCTGAGGCTGGTTCCCCTGCATCCAAACTCTCACTTTTCTCTTAATCATACCCATTCAGCTCTTAGATCCCTTCCATGGATATTTTATTTCTGAAATTGTACTTCTCAGTTTTGTAATTTATTTATGTTGTTTGAGATAGGGTCTTACTCTGTCACCCCGGCTGGAATGCAGTAGCACAAACATAGCTCACTGAAGCCTCAACCTCCTGGCCTCAGGTGATCCTCCCACCTTTGTCTGCTGAGTACCTGGGATCACAGGTGCATGCCATGATTCCTGGCTAATTATTGTATTTTTTGTAGAGACAGAGTCTTGCTATGTTGCCTAGGCTGGTCTTGAACTCCTGACCTCAAGGGATCCTCCCGCCTTAGCCTCCCAAAGTTCTGGGATTACAGGTGTGAGCCACCTTACCCAGCCAGTTCTATACTTTCAGTTGGTTCATTTGGCTCTTTTCTGTTGCTTCTTTGCTAGTCCTTCCTATTTGGTGAAATTTTCATGTATCGAAAACAAATTTTGTTTCATCTCTTTGAGGATTTCAGAATCCTTGGCTGTTCGTTCCAACATCTGGTTCATCTCAGTATCAGGTTCAGTTGGTTTTCTTTTCTCTCTGGAATGTAATGCATTTTCTTGGTTCTTCATTTGTCTAGTAATTTTTTTTTTTTTTTTTGAGACAGAGTCTTGCTCTGTCACCCAGGCTGGAGTGCAGTGGTGCGATCTCTGCTCACTGCAGCCTCTGCCTCCTGGATTCAAGTGATTCTTGTGCCTCAGCCTCCCAAGTAAGTTGGGATTACAGGCACCCACTACCATGCCCAGCTAATTCTTGTATTTTTAGCAGAGGTGGGGTTCCACCATGTTGGCCAGCCTGGTCTCAAACTCCTAACTCCAGGTGATCTGCCTGCCTCGGCCTCCCAAAGTGCTGGGATTACCGGCGTGAGCCACTGCTCCCGGCTTCTGGCTCCCTTTCTATCTTCTGTGTTGCCAATTTCTAGACTTCTCTTTCCTGGTGCTGAGGTCAGCAGGACTTTCTTTTCCATGTGGGCCCCACCTTCCCTGCTGGTGCCAAGAAGACCGTGTCTAGTGCTGGGATAGAGGGTGCAGGGAGGAGATCTGCTTCTTGTGACTTCATTCTCCACCTCCCACATGAGCCTCCTCTCTGTCCGCTGTCCCTCCCTCCACCACACACAATGGGCCCATGAAGGGTTGCATACACCAGGTGTTCCAGTGGATCTCTGCTGGGGACTGTTACTGGGTGGTACCTCATTCCATCATACCCAGAAGCAGAACTCTCAAACCTGTGTTTTACTATGGCGTATACCCACATCAGCCTCAAAAGCTCCTTGCTGGCCGGGCACAGTGGCTCACACCTGTAATCTCAGCACTTTGGGAGTCCAAAGCAGGCAGATGATGAGGTCAGGAGTTTGAGACCATCCTGGCCAACATTGTGAAACCCGTCTCTACTAAAAATAAGAAAAACAATTAGCTGGGCATGGTGATGTGTGCCTGTAATCCCAGCTACTTGAGAAGCTGAGGCAGGAGAATGGCTTGAACCTGGGAGGCAGAGGTTGCAATGAGCGAAGAATTTGTCATGGCACTCCGGCTTAGCCACAGAGCAAGACTGTCTCAAACAAACAAAAATCCCCTTGCTGCCTCCCAGCACAATGGAAAGTTGGAAAGTCTGTTAGCAAAAGACGAATGAATGGGATCATGACGTTTTGCCGGCGATTCTGTTCCACTGGGCATCCCCTGCCAGTCCCTGTTGCTGTGGCTTCATCTACCGGTGCAGTGGGAGCCAAGCCTCTCACAGCTGCCCCTGGAGTCAGTGGGCCTGGGATTAGGCCCTGGCTTTTTGGCTCCTGTACTGAGGATTTAAAACAGACCACTAGCTGTCCCTGGGGTTGTTAACCCAAGGGATTGTCACAGACATTGCATCCCTAAGTGAACACACCTTGAAGCCCCCGTCCCAGGGAGCAGTGCCGTCCACACCTCACTCACACACTCTTCCTGGACACCAGGCCTGAGCTAGGGCTTGAGCTGGAGGTCCCAGAGAACTCAAGGATCTGCTTCCCGGGGGCAGGGCAGATTGAGATAAGCTGAGACCCTGGCATGGACAGATATGCTAAGGTGTGGCATTGCCCGTGACAACAGAGGTGTGGCCAGAGAGGACTTCCCAGGCTGTGGGGTGGTTCTCTTCCTGAAGGACTCAGCACTGTTCCAAGGAGAGGTCAGGGGGAGCTGGTGCTCTGTGCAGAGGGGCTGGCAGAGAGCAAAGCTGGCAGGTGGGAATGAGTGGGGATGGTGGGTGCTGGGCAAGTGCCCGGCACCTGTGCTCAGAGGCTGGGCATTCCAGGAGCCCGAAGGGCTGGGACCCATGATCCAGGGCAGAGGGAAGCAGCATCTCAGCTGTGGAACAGGTGGGGCTGGGGGTGGGAGGAGGGCTGTGGAGAGGCCCTGTCTTGTAGAGAGGACAATGGGAGTGGATGATTCCTGGGACCATCCAGCTCTGACAGGCAGCACCAGGAATGGGAAAGAGAAGGCCGGGGGCTTGGGGATTCTCTGCGGGTTTCCCCTCCTGCCTGCCCTAGAGGACTGCTGCCCTGCAGGTGTGGGCCTGCCCAGCTGCCCTGGCTTCTGGGATTTCCACCAGTCAGGTGGGGCTCTGGAGGAGCTCAAAGGGCCCAGGATTTTCCCGTGGGGCGAGGTGCAAGGGGCGGGGAGCAGCGTTCGGGCAGCTGAGGCGGGCGAGGACAGGCGTAGGGGCAGGTGTGGGCCCCGTGAGCCCATCTTCTTCTCGGACCTCAGTTTCCTCTCCTGGAAACGGGGAGAAGGGCTGCCATCAGCAGGGAGGTCTCCTGGGGGAGGAACGGGGCCTGTGGGTCTGGGTGGGAAGGAAAGAGTCCCTGCAAGCCTGTGACCAGCGCGCCCTCCTCCCGCGTCCAGGCACAGAGTTCGAGTACACCGACTCGGAGAGTGAGGTCAAGGTGCGAAAGCGGTCGCCCGCAGGGCTGCTGCGGCCCAAGAAGGGGTTGGGGGAGCCGGGGCCCTCCCTGGCCGCACCCACGCCTGGCGCCCGCGGCCCCGGCCCCAGCAGCCCAGACAAGGCCAAGCTGGCAGCGGAGAAGGGACGCAAGGCCCGGAAGCTGCGGGGCCCCAAGGAACCCGGCTTCGAGGCGGGGCCCGAGGCCAGCGACGACGACCTGTGGACGCGGCGCCGCAGCGAGCGCATCTTCCTGCACGACGCCTCGGCTGCCGCCCCTGCACCTGCCAGTACTGCGCCGGCCACCAAGGCCAGCCGCTGCGCCAAGGGTGGCCCCCTGAGCCCGCGCAAGGACGCCGGGCGTGCCAGGGACAGGAAGGACCCCAGGAAGGTAGGGGCTGCGTGGGGAAGGGGGCCGTGGAAGGGTCCCTGGGATTCCTCGAGGGAGAGGCCCTCTCCCCTCCCAGCCTGGGGAAGCGGCCTCACTGTTAACCAAGTGTGCGGCTCCAGGTCCACCCAGAGCGCCTGCTAGGACTTAGCCCCAGGAGGAGCTGTGCCCGTGTTCCTTTGTTTCTTAAGAGTCAGGATCTTGTTCTGTCACCCAGGCTGGAGTGCAGTGGCCTGATTATGGCTCACTGTAGCTGTCAACTCCTAGCCTCAAGCAGTCCTCCTGCCTCAGCCTCCCAGATAAATGGGTCTTCAGGTACATGCTGCTGCACCCAGCTAATTTACTTTTTGTAGAGATGAGATCTCACTATGTCGCCCAGGCTGATCTTAAACTCCCGACCTTTAGCTGTCCTCCTGCCCCAGCCTGCCAAAATGCGGAGATTACAGGCATGAGCCACCATGTTTGGCCACCCATTTCTTACAGAGGTCCTTAATCTCTCTTCTTCTGTCTAAGACTTTAAAAAATGAATACAGGGACCAGGTGCAGTGGCTCATGCCTGTAATCCCAGCACTTTGGGAGGCCGAGGCAGGCAGATCATGAGGTCATGAGTTTGAGACCAGCCTGGCCAATGTAAAAACCCTGTCTCAACTAAAAAATATAAAAATTAGCCAGGCATGGTTGTGTGTGCCTGTAGTCCCAGCTACTCAGGAGGCTGAGGCAGGAGAATCGCTGGCACCCAGGAGGCGGAGGTTGCGGTGAGCTGAGATCGTACCGTTACACTCAAGCCTGGGTGACAGAGTGAGACTCCGTGTCCAAAAAAAAAATGTCTTGCGTGTTAGAGATGGGTGGATCACCTGAGGTCAGGAGTTGGAGACCAGCCAGACCAACATGGAGAAACTCTGTCTCTGCTAAAAATACAAAATCAGCCAGGCGTGGTGGCGCCTGTCTGTAGTCCCAGCTTACTCGGGAGGCTGAGGCAGGAGAATTGCTGGAACCCGTGAGGCAAAGGTTGCAGTGAGCCGAGATCGTGCCATTGCACTCCAGCCTGGGCAACAAGAGTGAAACTCTGTCTAAAAAAAAAAAAAAGAAAGAAAGAAAACAAAGTAAATAAAATCATCCCTGGACCCCAGAGGAAGACACTGATACCAGAGTACAGTTACCAAGATACTGAAGACTCCTCTGTGGTGCGATGCCTGTCTGCTCCTTCAGGGATGTGTTTAACTGCTGAAGACATCGGCAGTGGGTCTAGTAAATACCATATTTGAAATTGTAGTATTTTTGTAGAGACGTCTCACTCTGTCACCCAGGCTAGAGGGAAGTGCTGTGCTCATGGCTCACTGCAACCTTGAACTCCTGGGCTCAAACAATCCTCCCACCTCACCCTCCTGATTAGCTGGGACTACAGGTGCATAACACCACACCCAGCTAAGTTTTAAACTTTAAGTATAGATGAGATCCTGCTCTGTTGTCCAGGCTGATCTCAGACTCCCTTCTTCTGCTTCAGCCTCTCAAAGTGTTGGGAGTATAGGTGTGAGCCACCACACCTGGCTGGTGCTGTACTTCTGAAGCAGTGAGTGTAAAGGATGTTTTAAGGTCCCTGCGGTGACTATTGTGTGCTGCAAGACTCTGTGGTTTCCGTTGGTGGCAAAGTCACCGGCACTGCTGGTACTCTTGTGGTTTGTGGCCTCCACTCTCACCTGAAGGAAAAACCCCATGTTTTTTAGAGGTTAAGATGTGAAAATACAGGTGGGACTGTTTTTTCCTACCTGTTTACAGATTCCCTAAATTCTCTCTATGGACACCCCAGATTAAGAAAATTTGTTTTTCAACCACTCTGTGATAATTGTACCTGTTACCCTTTTTGCACTGGCCACTAGGGAGCTGATGGCCAAATGCTTCCTCCTATTTGGATGCATTCAGCCTTAATTAACAGCTAGGCTTTGACAGTATTCTGATTCTCTCCACCCTGAGCCCCTGATATAGGAGAAACCCTCAAATAACAGTGACTTTCTAGAGAAAAATCACAAAAAAGACAAGAGTCTCATTCCAGGCTGGAAAACAGTGGAGCAGTCGTGGCACACTGCAGCCTCCACCTCCCACGCTCAGGTGATCTTCCGTCCTCAGCCTCTGGAGTAGCTGAGACTACACATGTGTGCCAGCGTGCCTGGCTAAATTTTTTTTTTTTTTAAGATGGAGTCTTGCTCTCTTGGCCAAGCTGGAGTGCAGTGGTGTCATCTCAGCTCACTGCAACCTCTGCCTACCAACTTCAAGCAATTCTCCTGCCTCAGCCTCCTGAGTAGCTGGGATTACAGGCATGCACCACTACACCTGGCCAATTTTTGTATTTTTAGTAGAGACAGGGTTTCACCATGTTGCTCAGGCTGGTCTAGAACTCCTGACCTCAGGTATGTGCCCAACTGGGCCTCACAAAGTGCTGGGATTACAAGTGTGAGCCACTGCACCTGGCCTGCCTGGCTAATTATTTTTTTGAGATAGAATCTTGCTGTCTCCCAGGCTGGAGTGCAGTGGCGCAAATCTTGGGTCACTGCAACCTCTGCCTCCCAGGGTCAAGCAATTCTCCTTCGTCAGCCTCCTGAGTAGCTGGGAGAACAGGTACACATTGCCATGCCCGGCTAATTGTTTGTATTTTTAGTAGAGACAGGGTTTTTCCATGTTGGCCAGTCTCATCTCGAACTCCTGACCTCAGGTGATCTGCCCTACTCAGCCTCCCATAGTGTTGGGATTACAGGCGTGAGCCACCATGCTCGGATTTCTATCAATATTTTCATTGTGTTTACCTGTAAGAGACAGTCTTGCTCTGTTGCCCAGTCTGGAGTGCAGTCATGATCGTAGCTCACTGCAGCCTCAAACTTCCAAGTTTAAGCAATTCTCCTGCCTGTCTCCTCTGAGTAGCTGGGACCACAGGTGCGCGCCACCACACTTTGCTAATTTTTTTTTTAATTAAGAGATGGGGGTCTCACTTTGTTGCCCAGCTGGTTTCAAACTCTTGGGCCTAAGTTGATCCTCCTGCCTCGGCCTCCCAATGTGCTGGGATTACAGGTGTGCACCATCATATCCGGCTAATTAAAAAAAAATTATTTTTGTACAGATGGGGCTGGGTCTTTTTATGTTGTTCAGGCTAGTCCTGAACTCCTGGGCTCAAGCAGTCCTCCTCCTTTCTCAGCCTCCCAAAATGCTGGCATTTCACGGATAAGCCACCGTGCCTGGCCATCAGTATTTTTGTTTGTTTGTTTTTTAGGCAGAATCTCCCTCTTTTTGCATAGGCTGGAGTGCAGTGGCACCATCTTGGCTCACTGCAACTTCTGCCTCCTGGGTTCAAGCGATTCTCCTGCCTCAGCCTCCTGAGTGGCTGGGATTACAGGCACGCACCACTATGCCCAGCTAATTTTTTGTATTTTTAGTAGAGACGGGGTTTCACCATGTTGACCAGGATGGTCTCGATCTCTTGACCTAGTGATCCACTGGCCTTGACCTCCCAAAGTGCTGGGATTACAGGCTTGAGCCACCGCACCTGGCCTGGTCTGGTTGTATTTTTAAACGGTTGAATGACATTCTACTGTCTGTCTTCCACCTGCTGGCGGGTGGTGGTTTGGTTGACAATGGTGTTTTGCCATCATAATCACCAAAGCAGTGAGCGTCTCTGTTTTGTAAACAGAACTTCTATCACATCGGAAGTTATTTTCTTATTTATTTATTTTTTACAGAAAAGCAGAGGAAGGCTCTCAGCCATGGGTTTTCTGATCAAAGGGAAAGAAACGGTTACTGGTTTTATCTGATTATAACAGTAATTTGGAAGATTAAAAAAAAAAACCACTCAGGACTTTTTTTTTCTGCTGTCATTTCCTTTTGTTCCCCGTGCGTACAGCTGCAGGGACATGTACCAGGAGATGCTGCTCTCTGTTTAATGACAGATTCCAGAGATAAAGGGCGAAGTACCACTAACATTCCTTCCACCCTTAAGATGCCTCTCATTCCAGAAGGATGACTTGGACGGGAAAGTTCAGCAGAAACAAGGAAACAAAACACACACACATGCATATATTTATTTTTCCGCCCAAAATGGGGATTAAACTGTACACTCTCGTGCTCTAGAACATGCCATTTTTTGTCCTTTTCAATGTTCTTTGCTTTGACTTTCCTTTTGGGTACGGACGCTGTGACTCTGTTGTTTCTTGGTAGCATGTGACCATTATTATCTTTATTTGTTATTTTGCTGCTCTCTTGGCCTTGGCCGTTTGTTTTTAATTTAATTTTTTTTTTCGAGTTGGAATTTCACTCTTTTTGCCCTGGCAGGGGTGCAATGGTGCAATCTCGGCTCACTGCAACCTCCACCTCCTGGGTTCGAGCGATGCTCCTACCACAGCCTCCCAGGTCGCTGGGATTACAGGCGCCTGCCACCACACCCGGCTAATGGCCGTTGTTTTAGACATGTCCCTTTTACAAAGTGTAGACTTTTTAGCCCGGCATGGCGATGTATGTCTGTAGTCCCAGCTACTGGCGAGGCTGAGGCAGGAGGATCACTTGAGCCCAGGAGGCTGAGGTTGCAGTGAGCAGTGATTGTGCCACTGCACTCCAGCCTGGGTGACAGAGCAAGACCCTGTCTCAAAAACAACAACAAAACAGAGTGAAAAAGTGGAGGCTGAGGCAAGAGAATTGCCTGAACCCAGGAGGCGGAGGTTGCGGTGAGCCGAGATTGCGCCATTGCACTCCAGCCTGGGTAATAAGAGCGAAACTCCGTCTCAAAAAAAAAAAAAAAAGAAAGTGGAGACAGCCTACAGGCTCTTCCCATTATGGGAATAGTTAAAAGTAAATCAATTCCGGTTTCTCCATACCTTGGCTCATTTAGGCTGCTGTTATAAAAGAAAAAGAAGCTTCTTTTATGTGTATCAGTCATGTTGGGAGGAAAACGTTGCAAAGCAGGACTATCAGTAAATTCCCACCTGCGCTTTTTAAAAAAAGTATTGTGGGCTAGGTGATGTGGCTCATGCCTGTAATTCCCAGCACTTCGGGAGGCCTAGGCAGGCAGATCAGGAGGTGAGGAGTTTGAGACCAGCCTGGCCAATATGAAACCCCACCTCTACTAAAAATACAAAAATTAGCTGAGTGTGGTGGCGGGCTCCTGTAGTCCCAGCTACTTGGGTGGCTGAGGCAGAAGAATTGCTTGAACCCAGAAGGTGGAGGTTGCAGTGAGCGAAGATCACACCACTGCACTCCAGCCTGGGCGACAGAACAATACTCTGTCTTCAAAAGGAAAAAAAAAGTACTGTGTATGCATGGTCCTGTCTGCATAACCTCATATTTGCATGGTTGTGTGTACTTGTGGAAAGTTCTAGAAAGATAAACCATCCTGTTACTGGTAGCCACCTCTGTGGAGTTGGTAGGAGGGTCACTGGAGAGTAACTCACAGCATATATATGTATATGTATAAACATACACACACACACACACCCTCACACACACACAATGACAGACACGGAAACGGGACACGGCAGCGCCTTAGCCCTTGCTCACACACATACACACACACACACTTCAGTGTTCTTTTTTTTGGGGGGGGGCTAAGGGGGCAACAAGTAATATATACTAGCCTTAAGATGATAAACATTAAAAACAGCCTGTAGTCCCAGCACTTTGGAAGGCCAAGGCAAGAGGATTACTTGAAGCAGGAGTTTGAGACCAGCCTGGGCAACATAGCGAGACCCTGTTACTACAAAAAATAAATTAGCTGGGTGTAGTGGCATGTACCTGTAGTCCAGCTACTCAGGAGGCTGAGGTGGGAGGATCGCCTGAGCCTAGGAGGTTGAAGCTACATTTCGTGGTGATGGTGCCACTGTCCTCTGGCCCAGGCAACAAAGTGAAGACCCTGTCTCAAAAAAAAAAACCCAAAAACTGAAAACACTTGCAGGGAGAGAGAGAAGGGGTGTTTCGTTCCGGGAGGGCACACTTAGGGTGGCACAGGCCTTGGGGATAAGTGAGTGAGCGGATGGAGTGCTGCCTGCACCTTCTCTGCCATCTGATGGCTCCTCTCTGCTGCTTCCTCCTCCAGAAGAAGAAAGGGAAGGAGACTGGGCCAGGAGCTGGGCTGCCACCGCCCCGAGCTCCCGCTTTGCCCTCTGAGGCCAGGGCTCCTCACGCCAGCTCCCTGACTGCTGCCAAGAAGAGCAAGGCCAAGGACAAGGGGAAGGAGGTGAAGAAGGAGGTGAGGCTCGCCGTGCCCTGGTGGGCTCCATGGGGGGCTCTGTCTGCTGCTCTGTGTTCACCCTCACCGTGAAGGAGGCTTCGGGTGGCAAGGGTGACGTGGCTGGCGTCCCTGTGCTCCAGGGATAAAGAGATACAGGGGACTCAGCTCCTGTCCTCAGGAAATGCCTGCTTTATCGGGGGCTGGGGACACTGGAACCGTGATCAGGAGACCTGGGTGACGGGCCTCCAGCCCAGCATCAGGCCCTCACGGGCTGTCAGGCTTGGGTGAATTTCTTAGCCTGAGTGGGAGATGGTGGCATGCCCACTCCCCACACCTGCTAGCCCCTGCCCAGTGGTTTTCCCTCAAGCCCAGTGGGTGTGGCTGGAAATGCCACAGTTTCTGAACTGAGGCACCTCCCTCATGGTAATGAACAGACGTATGGTAGTGAGAACTGAGCACTGAGTATTGAGTACTGAGCCATGGCCAGTGGGTTTCAGGCCCATTTCACCCTCCCCTGATCTCTTGGGTACCCCCACCTGGGATCCCCACCATGCACATGACAGATTCCCTCTATGGACTGACTGTGGCTCCAGGTTTCCAGAGAGGGTCCCCAGACCAGCAAGGACCCCCGTGCCAGGTGTTAAGTTATTTGTTGGCCATTCTCTGTCCCTAGAACCGCGGGAAGGGGGGCGCCGTGAGCAAGCTGATGGAGAGCATGGCAGCCGAGGAGGATTTTGAACCCAACCAGGACTCGAGCTTCTCTGAGGACGAGCACCTGCCACATGGCGGGGCTGTGGAGCGGCCACTGACCCCGGGTGAGTGGCCGTGATGCAGTGTCTGCCAGAAGGGGCCACTGGAGCCTCCCTTGAGGGAGGCAGATCTGAGTGTGGCCTGAGACAGAAGGGCTGGGCTAACTAGGGGCAGGGAACCGCATGAGCAGAAGGTCCTGAGGTGGGACTGAGTTCCCTGGGGTGGATGAGAACGTTGGATTGGCTGAAGCTTAGTCAACTGGAGATGGAGCATAAGAGCCACCTTGGGGCCAGGGAGGAGGCAGATCCCGAGAGGGGCTTGGGAAGGAGCTCTGTGTTGACCTCCTTCAAAATGAGAAGCTCTCTGAGGTTAGATGTGAGGATGTGATGTGGTCTGATTGGCTTTAAAATGAGCTGTCTGGGGTGGGCGCGGTGGCTCACACCTGTAATCCCAGCACTTTGTGAGACCAAGATGGGCGGATCACCTGAGGTCAAGAGTGGAGACCAGCCTGACCAACTGGTAGAGATGGTAAAACCCCGTCTCTACTAAAAATATGAAAATTAGCCAGGTGTGGTAATCGGCATCTGTAATCCCAGCTACTTGGGAGGCTGAGGCAGGAGAATCGGTTGAAACCAGGAGGTGGCGGTTGCAGTGAGCTGAGTTGGCACCATTGCACTCCAGCCTGGGCAGCAAGAGTGAAACTCTTGTCTCCAAAAAAAAAAAAAAAGAAAAAAAAAAAGAAAAGCGAGCTCTCTGTTGCGCATAGGGAATGAGTTGGGGGCCCTAGGAGAGGCAGGGAGTCCAGTTAGGCTGTGCTGTCCAGGTGAGAGTAGGTCGTGGCCTGGGGCTGCTGTGGGGGCAGCAGGAGGGAGGTGGGGCAGGGTGTTTACAGTAGGAGTGAGAGTGAATGGGATGTGGGGTGGGGGTGCAGGCAGATGAGCGGGGAAGGGAAGGGTGACGTCAGGTGTGGGGGTGGGTTGGGGCCCTGTCCCTGAGACCCGGGCCAGGAAGGGCCGAGGGCCGTGTGCTGGGCTTTGATGGCTGGAGTCTGGAGCACCTGCAAGGGCATCCTAGGAAGTCACGCCCAGGAGGCTCTCAGACCCAGGGGTCTGGAGCTCAGAGGTGAGAGATCGTGGGTATGGATGGGGGAGCGAGTGAGAAAAGGAGCTGGCCGCTCCAAGACTGCATCAGTCAGCGGCTGCTCCAGAGAAAGGGAGGAAACCACAGGGAGAGAGAGCAGAGGGTTGGAACAGTGAGAGGTGACCGCCTTAAGGAAGTTTGCCTCTGGGCATTGATTTCCACCAGAAAGAAAAATCAGATGGCAAGTCATAGAGGTAGGTGGGATGTGGTGTCTTGCACCTGTAATCCCAGTAATTTGGGAGGCTGAGGTCGGAGGATCACTTGAGACCAGGAGTTTGAGATCAGTTGGATAATGTAGCAAGACCCTGTCTACCAAAAGTAAAATAATTAGTGAGGCACAGACGGTGGTGCACACCTGTAGTCCCAGCTACTCAGGAATCTGAGGAGGGAGGATGACTTAAGCCAAGGAGTTCTAGGCTGCAGCGAGCTATGATCACACTGCACTCTAGGCTGGGTGACAGAGCAAGACCTTGTCTCTGAAAAAATTATTTTAAAAAAGAGGCTGGGCGTGGTGGCTGATGCCTATAATCCCAGCATTTGGGAGGCAAGTGGATCACCTGAGGTCAGGGGTTCGGGACCAGCCTGGCCAACATGGTGAAACCCGTCTCTACTAAAAATACAAAAATTAGTTGAGCATGGTGGCAGGCGCCTGTAATTCCAGCTACTTGGGAGGCTGAGGCAAGAGAATCGCTTGACCCTAGGAGGCGGAGGTTGCAATGAGCCGAGATCACATCACTGCACTCCAGCCTGGGCAACATCTACAAAAAAAACAGAAAGCCCTAGAAGTTTGGCTGAGGGCAGTGATAAAGGGGCTGGATGTCATGATGGAGGATGATGCCTGTCTGGCGATGGCTGGAAACCTAGAGCTTCAATGCCAAGCCCGGAGGCTGCTGGTCTTGGGGTGGGAAGAGACCGCACGTGCAAGCAGTTGTTATCCATGGGTTCACACCCACCTGGGGTCTTTCCAGACATCTGGGGCCAGGCAGGGGAGGGGGCTGGGAGGAGAGGGGCTGCCCATCGCACCCTGTGCGTGCATACTGGTACTGGTACACACGGGTCTGTGCGGGTACACACACAGGCAGACGAAGATGTGCACACATCTCAGCCCCACAGGCCCACCCAGCCTCAGGTCTTCCATTCCAAGGGGATGACATTTAAGTGACGCGGGGGAGGGAGAGGTGTTGCAACCACCCCTGGCTCCAGCCTTGCCTCATAATCTGACCCCTGCAGCCCCGCGCTCCTGCATCATTGACAAGGATGAGCTGAAGGACGGCCTTCGTGTGCTCATCCCCATGGATGACAAGCTGCTGTACGCCGGGCACGTGCAGACGGTGCACTCACCGGACATGTGAGTGGAGGGGGAGGCCTGGCGCAGAGCCCCGCATCACACATCTGCCCTGAGTCCCGGCCATCTCTGTGCCTGCCTGCCTGCCTGGGCTGTGGCTTCCCCTGATGGCGTGGGGCGGGGGCGTGCGTGGGCTCAGAGCTGACAGGCCCTGGCACTTTGTTGGGGTACTGGGCGAGCCCTGCCAGGGGCTGGGTGCGGCTGCTCCATGGCGAGAGCTGCAGTGGGAAGGGGTAAGCGAGGGAGCATGCTGGCCTCTCGGGATCTGGACTGCACCTGCCTGGTGTGCTCTGTAACTCCTAGTTCTATAGATAAGGAAGATCAGCTCAGAAAAGGGGAGAATTCTCCCCACTTTCTAGCAAGTCAGCAAAGCTCTAAGTCCTGGTCTCACCTCCCAGTGGTCTAGGAGGCAGAGCTGGTGCTGGTGGGGTCGGGGCCCTCTGGAGAGCTCTCATCCTCTGCCACATCACGCCTCGTTTGCCCCCGCAGATACCGCGTGGTGGTGGAGGGTGAGCGTGGGAACCGGCCCCACATCTACTGTCTGGAGCAGCTGTTGCAGGAGGCGGTGAGAGGGGGAGGGGCACAGCTTCGGGAGGCTTGGGTGGGCTGGGGTATCCAAGGCCATGGCCACAACTGTACCCACACCTGGCATTCACCCCATGCCCTCCCAGATCATCGATGTGAGGCCGGCCTCCACTCGCTTCTTGCCACAAGGGACCAGGATCGCAGCCTACTGGAGCCAGCAGTACCGGTGCCTCTATCCAGGCACCGTGGTCCGAGGTGAGATGCCTCCTCCCCTAAAGCTCTCCCCAGCTCTCCCCCGCCTAACGTCTCAACATGGACTCATTTGGCTAAGAAAACCTGTCTGGCTTAAGAATAATGACCTGTGGGATCACATAACTAAAAACTGTGTAGCCTCAGACATGGTTGGATCCAGGCGCCATTTAGACAATGTCATCAGGACTCCAGCTCTGAGTATCTCTCATCAGTACTGTCATCTGTGCTGGCTTCACACTAGTTCCTTGGAGATTGTAGTTTACCATCTTAACAAATCTTATCATTGGAGAATTTCTCAGTCCCAGTTTTCCCACACAAGTTCTAGTGTGAACAGACTTGGGTCATATGGTTTTCATTGATCCTACAGCTGTGAGTCTGATCAGCCAGGCCTGGGTCATATTCTCATCCCTGGGGCTCAGGAGTGAGGTCGCCTCCCTTTTATTTGTGGGCTGAGAAGGATGGGAGGGTGGCTTCCCCAGCAAAGTGGAGATGTTGTAAGAATGAGAGCGAATGAGGCTGGGCATGGTGGCTTCCGCTTGTAATCCCAATACTTTGGGAGACCAGGGTGGGTGAATCACTTGAGGTCAGGAGTTTTGTTTTTTGTTTTTTTTTTTTTTTTTTTTTTGAGATGAAGTCTCGCACTGTTGCCCAAGTTGTAGTGCAGTGGTGGGATCTCAGCTCCCTACAACCTCTGCCTCCTGGATTAAAACAATCCTTTGCCTCAGCCTCCCGAGTAGCTAGGACTACAGGCATGTGCTACCATGCCCAGCTAATTTTTTTGTATTTTTAGTAGAGATGGGGTTTCACCATTGGCCAGGATGTTCTCAATCTGAGGTCAAGAGTTTAAGACCAGCCTGGCCAATGTGGTAAAACCCTGTTTCTACTAAAAATACAAAAATTAGCCAGGCGTGGTGCCAGGCGCCTGTAATCCCAGCTAGTTGGGAGACTGAGGCAGGAGAATTGCTTGAGCCTGGGAGGTGGAGGTTGCAGTGAGCTGAGATTGCACCACTGTACTCCAGCCTGGGTGACAGAGCAAGACTGTGTCTCAAAAAAAAGGAGAATGGAGATTGGACAGAGGAAAACAACAGGTACCCTAGGAAATATAGTTGTGTATCAGACAGGCAAGAAAGACAGATGCTCACATGGTCCAACCCTTAGCTCTTACAAAAACAATGTATCCTAGAGAGGGGGTACGGATGTTGATTAGACACCCCCCGTCCCCACAAGAAAAGCCCACTCACATGCCAAATACAGTCCATCCCTTGGTTTACCATCCATTCATACCCAGAAGATGGAAACAGATGCCAGGTCAGCAAAACAACAGATGTCTGGTCCAGACTGAGTAGAGGATCTTGGGCTGGGAAGATTTTTTTTTCCATCTATCAGTCACTCATTTATCATCCAAACTCTGAAAATCCTGTTAATAAGGCAGAAGTTGGCCTTGGATTCAGATTTCCTGGCACACTCTGTCCCCCTGTACTGATTCTAGGCCTGCCTCATGGGTATCATTCTGGATTCTTGGGCCTTCCCTGTCCCTCTTCCTGAGAACCGTTTTTGTTGCATTGCATGTTTTTCTCTTTTTTGGTATGGTTCCTTGTTTTAAGCCGCAGATCTTTCAGTAGCTTTGTGAGGAAGAGTCCATGGGAGGTAAATTTCTCACATCCTATGCGTTTGTAATCTCTTCATTCTACTCTTGTTATTTAGAGATAGTTAAGCTGGGTACCTTATTCTTTAGAGGTAGTTGAGCTGGGTGTAAATTCTAGGGTGGAAATAGTTCCCGCTCACCATTTCAAAGCCATTTTTCCATTTTTATCTCGCTTCCCGTATTGTTGAAGACAGTCAACATTTTGATTTCCAAATCATTGTTGGAGACCTGTTTTTTTTCTTTCTGGAAACTTGTAGGATCTTCTCATTATCTCTAGATCTTGAATTCTGTATTTGTGTGTGTGTGTGTGCGCGCGCGTGTGTGTGTGCGTATGTGTGTGTGTGTGTATGTGTGTGTTCTCTCATCATGCTGGGTATCTGCATATCTGCAGGGTGGGGGTTGATTTTGAAGCAAATTTCCTTGAGTCCCAGAGCTCTTACTTATAGCACAACTTGGATAACTTCTCCTGTGAATTTCATGTTTTCCCTGGAACTTGCACTAGTCCCGTGGCCTCTGGTGTGTGTGTGTGTGTGTGTGTGTGTGTGTGTGTGTTTTCTGTTATTGTTTATTTTTTATTTTGTTCAACTTAGATATTTCCTCTGCTTTTATCTTCTAACCCCTTCTGTTTTCTTGAATTTTAAAATTTTATGCTATCATATAAAACATTCTCCACCAGTTGGTCACATCTGTAATCCCAGCAATTTGGGAGCCTGATGGAGGTAGACTGCTTAAGCCCAGGAGTTTGAAACCAGCCTGGGCAACATAGCAAGACCCTAACTGTACAAAAAGATACAAAAATTAGCCGGACTTGGGCCAAGCACAATGGGTCATACTTGTAATCCCAGCACTTTGGGAGGCCAAGGCGGGTGGATCACCTGAGGTCAGGAGTTTGAGACCAGTTGGGGCAACATGGTGAAACCCCATCTCTACTAAAAATAATTAGCTGGGCATGGTAGCAGGTGCCTGTAATCCCAGCTGCTTGAGAGGCTGAGGCAGCAGAATCACTTGAATCCAGGAGATGGAGGTTGTGGTGAGCTAAGGTAGCACTATTGCACTCCAGCCTGGGTGACAGAGTGAGAATCCGTCTCAAAAAAAAAAAAAAAAAAAAAAATTAGCCAGGCTTGGTGGTGTGCCCCTGTTGTCCTAGTTACTTGGGAGGCCAAGGTGGGAGGATCACCTCAGCCCGGGTGGTCAAGGCTTCAGTGAGCTGTGATCGTGCCACTGCACTCCAGCTTGGGTGACAGAGTCAAGTTTTTTCTTTTTTTTTTGAGGCAGGTAACGAATTGTTTTTCGTTTTAGCTTTCTGGGTTTTTTTTTTTTTTTGAGACGGAGTCTGGCTCTGTCACCCAGGTTGGAGTGTGGTGGAGTGATCTCAGCCCACTGCAGTCTCCACCGCCCAGATTCAAGCTATTCTCCTACCTCAGCCTTCTGAGTAGCTGGGATTGTAGGCACATACCACCAAACCCAGTTAATTTTTTGTATTTTTAGTAGAGATGGGATTTCACCATGTTGGCCTGGCTGGCCTCAAACTCCTGACCTCAGGAGATCTGCCCCCTTTGGCCTCCCAAAGTGTTGAGATCGTAGGTGTGAGCCCCTGTACCCGGCCTTATTTTAGCTTTCTGCGGCTCCCTCTGTCTTCCCAGTAACCCCTCCTTCTGTTTTCGGGTGCCGTGCTCTTCTTCTCAGTAGAACCCCTCAGATGTCTAGGGACCCTGAATGAAGGAGACGTCAGCAAGTCAGTGTGAGCTCTGCACTCCCAGTCCTCACAGCGAGTGGGCAGGAATGTTTTAAGGGACCAGGTTCTGCTCAGATTCCCCAAGACTCACATCCATGGGGATATAGTCTCAGCATCTGGTGTTTGGGAAGGAGGCTGGGCTGTCACCCTTAGTGGGGGGCATGTCCGGCTTCCTCCCCTACACTCAGCGTCCTTCAGTTGGGAGCCTCTCTCTGGGATGAACCTCTCAGCTCCTGCCAGCCAGGCCACCCTCAGCCCGTTCAGTGTTGAGGTCTCCCTCAGTCCTGCCTCCGGAGGTGCTTGGGGCCTCTCTGGCCCAAGCCTTGTTAGGATTCTCTTGGGAAAACTACCTCCTCTTCATTGGTGCTGCCTTCTCCTAGGAGATAAAAACCCGCTCCTGCACGTTTGTCCCGGCGTCTCTCCCAAAACACTGCCATCTCCCGCTGCTGCCCTCTGCTTTCCCGGTTTTGGTGTCTTTCAGGGTTGATGCCCGCGTCCCTCCTTTGCTGTGGTTGTGGGGAGGTCTTTGGGTGTGAGCGGGCGCAGGTGCATGTGCTCAGGAAGTCAGCTAGAAATGGAAGACCCAGTTCTTCCACCCAGCCTGGCTATCACAACCACACTCTGCACCACTGTGTACCCTCCGCTCATGTGCCACACCCTCGTGCATCACTTAGGGAGCTGGAGATCCAGGGACCTCTCCTGAGCCTCCCCTTCTCCCATAGGGTTACTGGACCTGGAGGACGATGGGGACTTGATCACCGTGGAATTTGACGACGGAGACACAGGCAGGATCCCCCTTTCACACATCCGCCTCCTGCCCCCCGACTATAAGATCCAGTGTAAGTGATGAGCTCGTGACACCCAGGCTCCTACCAGGAGCCGCCTACCCTGGCTCTCGCCCTCCCAGCCCAGCTCTGGACTCTGTCTGAAGTCATTTGGAGTGACGGGATGGAAATGGCAGAAACCATGGGTGGGAACTCCCATGAGATCCCAGGGCTCCCAGTTCCTGAGTCCTGGGCGCATGAGGACAGCACAGGCCCATAGGCCCAGACCATGGGAAGCTGATCAAAAAATGTTATTGGCCGGGCGTGGTGGCTCACGCCTGGAGGCTGAGGTGGGTGGATCACCTGAGGTCAGGAGTTCAAGACCAGCCTGGCCAACATGGTGAACCCCTGTCTCTATGAAAAATAGAAAAATTAGCTGGGCATGGTGGTGCATGCCTGTAGTCCCAGCTGCTTGGGAGGCTGAGGTGGGGGGATCGCTTGAACCCAAGAGTTCAAAGCTGCAGTGAGCTGTGATCGCACCACCGTGCTCCAGCTTGGGTGACTGAAACTCAATCTCTAGAAAACAAACAGGCCAGGCATGGTGGCTCACACCTGTAATCCCAGCACTTTGAGAGGCCAGGGCGGGTGGATCACATGAGGTCGGGAGTTCAAGATCAGCCTGACTAACACGGAGAAACTTTACTAAATATATAAAATTAGCTGGGTGTGGTGGTGCACGCCTGTAATCCCAGCTACTCGGGAGGCTGAGGCAGGAGAATCGCTTGAACCCGGGAGGTGGAGGTTGCAGTGAGCTGAGATTGCACCATTGCACTCCAGCCTGGGCAACAAGAGCAAAACTCCATCTAAAAAAAAAAAGCATCTGTATCTGCCTATCCCAGTTCCACAAACTGTTTTATTTTACTTCATTCATTCGGGAGCCTCTGGCTACTTGCTATAGATGGGGCTTCCCCTGCTGGACCTCACAGCCTGTGGCGGGAGCCTGCCGGGGGTGAACCACCTGGCATCGGTTGCTTCCGACCCATCCCTGATCCCCGGGACTGGCTAGGGTCTTGGACGCTCCAAGCTGGGGAAGCCAGGCCTGATGAGCCACTCTCTCCTCTGTCCCGCAGGTGCTGAGCCGTCCCCGGCACTCCTGGTGCCGAGTGCCAAGCGCCGCAGCCGGAAGACCAGCAAAGACACCGGGGAGGGCAAAGACGGGGGTACAGCAGGGTCGGAGGAGCCAGGAGCGAAGGCCCGTGGGCGTGGGCGGAAACCTAGCGCCAAGGCCAAGGGTGGTACGTTGGCCTGGGCCCCAGGGCAGGGGTGGGGGCGGGGCTCCTTTGGGTATCCAAACTCAGGGCTTGGGGACCTGCCCAAGTGCCTGCCTGCTGTCTCTGTAAGAACTCTGGGCCGGGCATGGTGGCTCATGCCTGTAATCCCAGCACTTTGGGAGGCCAAGGTAGGTGGATCACCTGACGTCAGGAGTTCAAGACCAGTCTGGCCAACATGGGGAAACCCCGTGACTACTAAAAATACAAAAATTAGCCAGGTGTGGTGGCAGGTGCCTGTAGTCCCAGCCACATGGGAGGTGGAGGCGGAAGCGCTTAAACCCAGGAGGCAGAGGTTGCAGTAGGCCATCACGCCATTGTGCTCCAGCCTGGGCACCAAGAGAGAAAGTCTGTCTCCAAAAAATAAAAACCTCTGCACTGCGGGGCTGTTCTGACCAGGTGGCAAATGAGGAACTGAGGCTGAGGGAAGCAGGTTGATCTGTCAGAGGCAGAGCTGAGCTGCAGTGGCCTATGTTTCTTTCCAGAGTCCAGAGAAAATGCTTCATGCAAGCTGAAAGCAGAGGCTACTAGAGGACCCTCTTTGGGGCCAGTATAACTTAAGGTTGATATAGGGGAGCCGCCCAAGGAGGTCCAAGAGGGCCGCAGCCAGGTATAGGGGTTTCCCCATGTTGGCCAGACTGGTCTTGAACTCCTGACCTCAGGTGATCCACCTACCTTGGCGCCTCCCAAAGTGCCGGGATTACAGGCATGAGCCACCATGCCCGGCCCAGAGTTCTTACAGAGACAGCAGGCAGGCAGTCTTAAGAAGTAGCCCAGGATGGAAACCAGGCCTTTCTGCCAGGCGCGGTTTCAGCCAGGCCTTTCTGCCCACACCTATAATCTCAGCACTGTAGGAGGCCCAGGCACGGGGATCACTTGAGCCTAGGAGTTCAATACCAGCCTGGGCAACATAGCAAAACTATGTCTCTACAAAAAAAAAATGATAATACAAAAGTTAGCCAGGCATAGTGGCACATGCTTGTGACTTCAGGTTACTTTGGAGACTGAGGCAGGAGGATCACATCAGCCCAGGGAGGTTAAGGCTACAGTGAGCCATGATCATGCCACTGCACTCCAGCTTGGGTGACTGAGACACCATCTCAAGAAAAAAAAAGCATCCCATGAAAGCAGGCCTTTTCTGATGAAAGCCACAGCTCATCTGCGAGGAAGCCCCCACCCCAGCCTTTCATCTGTTTTCTTTTGTTTTTGCAGACAGAGCCGCTACCCTGGAGGAGGGGAGCACAGCAGATGAGGTCCCCAATACCCCCTTGGCCCTGGAGCCAAGCAGCACCCCAGGTTCCAAGAAGAGCCCCCCAGAGCCTGTGGACAAGCGAGCTAAGGCCCCCAAGGCGCGCCCGGCACCCCCGCAGTCCAGCCCTGCACCACCTGCCTTCACCAGCTGCCCAGCACCCGAGCCCTTTGGGGAGCTGCCAGCCCCTGCCACCGCCCTGGCCCCAGCACCTCTCATCACCATGCCTGCCACACGCCCCAAGCCCAAGAAGGCACGGGCAGCTGAGGAGTCAGGCATCAAGGGCCCTCGGAGGCCAGGGGAGGAGGCTGAGCTACTTGTCAAACTGGACCACGAGGGCGTCACGTCACCCAAAAGCAAGAAGGCTAAAGAGGCCCTGCTACTGCGGGAGGACCCAGGGGCTGGGGGCTGGCAGGAGCCCAAGAGCCTCCTGAGCCTAGGCAGCTACCCTCCAACAGCCAGCAGCAGCGAGTCCAAGGTGCCCTGGCCCAAGGCCGTGGATGGGGACCTCGCCCAGGACCCTGGGCCAGGGCTCACATTTGAGGACTCTGGGAACCCCAAGAGCCCGGACAAGGCCCAGGCTGAGCAGGATGGGGCCGAAGAATCGGAGAGCAGCAGCAGCAGCAGCAGTGGCAGCAGCAGCAGCAGCGGGTCCGAGACAGAAGGGGAGGAGGAAGGCGACAAGAACGGGGACGGGGGCTGCGGCGCTGGGGGCCGCAACTGCAGCGCTGCCAGCTCCAGGGCAGCCTCACCGGCCTCCTCCTCCTCCTCCTCCTCATCTTCCTCCTCCTCCTCCTCCTCCTCATCTTCCTCCTCCTCTTCCTCTTCCTCGTCTTCTTCCTCATCTTCATCTTCCTCCTCTTCTTCTTCGTCGTCCTCCTCTTCCTCGTCCTCGTCCTCGTCCTCGTCCTCGTCCTCCTCCTCTTCCTCTTCCTCCACCACAGATGAGGACTCTTCCTGCAGCTCAGATGATGAGGCGGCCCCCGCCGCCACGGCTGGTCCCTCTGCACAGCCAGCGCTCCCCACCAAGGCCACCAAGCAGGCCAGCAAGGCACGGCCCTCAGCCCACTCTCCGGGCAAAAAGACACCCGCGCCCCAGCCCCAGGCGCCCCCGCCACAGCCCGCACAGCCTCTGCAGCCCAAGGCTCAGGCCGGGGCCAAGAGCCGACCCAAGAAGAGAGAGGGCGTCCACCTCCCCACCACCAAGGAACTGGCCAAGCGGCAGCGCCTGCCGTCCGTGGAGAACCGGCCCAAGATTGCCGCCTTCCTGCCCGCCCGGCAGCTCTGGAAATGGTTCGGGAAGCCCACCCAGGTAACCAAGCTTGCGCCCAGGTGGGGCTGAGGGGCTGGGGGCCTTGTCTTTTGCTGCTGGGCACACATGCGCACAAATACACTACATCCACGCAAACACACACACACTTGCACATGTGTAGAAATGTAGGCACATGCATGCGTGCACATGAACACATGCATGCCCCACACAGACACGAACAAGTGCACACACAGGCACATCCACATGGCAGGACCCAGTGAGAGACGAGGGTGGTTCACACACCTGTGGCAGTGAGCCCCCAGTGTGCAGTGGTGTGGGGGAGGAGCGCCTGCATGTTCCGGTAGGGGTCCGTGGTCTCTCTCAGGCATCATTTCCAAAGCTGCTCTAGAAACGTGTTGTAAGTCTCTCTTGGCCAGCTGCAGTGGCTTAAGTCTGTGATCCCAGCACTTTGGGAGGCTGAGGCGAGAGAATCGCTTAAGCTTGGGAGTTCAAGACTGCAGTGAACTATGATTGTGCCACTACACTCCAACCTGCATGATAGTGAGACCTTGTCTTTAAAAAAAAAAAAAATTTTAGCTGGGCGTGGTGGCTCACGCCTGTAATCCCAGCACTTTTGGAGGCTGAGGTGGGCAGATCACCTGAGTTCGGGAGTTTGAGACCAGCCTGACCAACATGGAGAAACCCCGTCACTAGTAAAAATACAAAAATTGCTGGGCGTGGTGGTGTGTGCCTGTAATCCCAGCTACTCGGGAGGCTGAGACAGGAGAATTGCTTGAACCTGGGAGGCAGAGGTTGCAGTAAGCCGAGATTGTGCCATTGCACTCCGGCCTGGGCAATAAGAGCAAAACTCCATCTCAAAAGAAATTAATTAATTAATTAAATAACTTAATTAAAATAAATAACCGGGCATGGTATGCGCCTGTAGTCTCAGCTACTCAGAGACTGAGGTGGAAGGATTTCTTGAGCCTAGGAATTCGTGGCTGTAGTGAGTCGTGATTGTGCCACCGCACTCCAGCCTGGGCCTCACAGTGAGACCCTGTCTCAAAAATAAAGTCTCTTAGCTGCAGAATGCTTAGATTTGGTGAAGGCCCTCTTGGAGACCCAGCATGTCAAAGAGGTGGAAGAGGAGCTTCCCCAGTCAGAGTGAGACAAGGGGCTCTTCTCTCCCCAGCGGTGGGTCGTGGCTGGCTGAGAGGCCGAGCACCCGGAGTCCCGAGTGGCCAAACCTGCAAGGAGGCGGGCTCCCTGGGGCTGGGCCAGGGCCCCCGGTGCCCTGACGCTCATGTTGTTGCAGCGACGTGGCATGAAGGGCAAGGCCCGCAAGCTCTTCTACAAGGCCATTGTGCGAGGCAAGGAGATGATCCGGATCGGGGACTGTGCTGTGTTCCTCTCCGCCGGCCGCCCCAACTTGCCCTACATTGGCCGCATCCAGAGCATGTGGGAGTCGTGGGGCAACAACATGGTGGTCCGAGTCAAGTGGTTCTACCACCCCGAGGAGACCAGCCCCGGCAGACAGTTCCACCAGGGCCAGGTGAGCCTGTGGCCCCTCCCCATCCTGGGTGGCGCAGGGCAGACCCGAGGACCCCCGACCCCTCCAGGCCAGGCATTCCAGCTGCTGGAGAATCAGCACCCCCTCCCAGTGTGGCGGCCCCCAGGCTTACCCACAGCCCCTCTGTTCGCCACATAGCACTGGGACCAGAAGTCCAGCCGCAGCCTCCCGGCGGCCCTGCGTGTCTCCAGCCAGAGGAAGGACTTCATGGAGGTAGGCGGTGGTGGTGGAGGGGCAGTGGTGCTGGGGAGTGGGGTGGGGGTGGCTGGTTCCTTCCCATCAGCTTAGGCAGGGCCAGACTCGGCATCTGCTCCTCTATCCCCCGTGGTCTGCCTCGGCCTCTGACCTCCTGTCCCTGCCACTCTGAGTGCCTGGCTCCTGTTCTCTGTCTCTCCCGGTCTCTGCGTCTGTCTCCATCTCTGGGGCTCTCCTACTTTCCCGATGTCCTTTTCTGAATCTCTGACCAGACTCGTCCTCAGACTCTCTGGGTTTCTCCTGGTTTCCAGGTCTCTCCCAACCTCGGTCTTTCAGAGGTTGTCTCTGTGTCTCTCTCAGTCTCTGTCTCTTGGGCTCTGAGTCTCAGTATGTGGATGTCTCTCGGTTTCTGTCTCTTGGGCTCTACCTGTCTTGGTCTCTGGGTCTCTCAGTCTCTGTGTCTCTCTGGGTCTCAGTCTCTGGGTCTCTCGGTCTCTGGGTCTCTCTTGGTCTCTATCTCTTAGTCTCTGTCTTAATCTCTGGGTCTCTCTCAGTCTCTGTCTCAGTCTCTGGGTCTCTGTCTCAGTCTGTTGGTCTCTCAGTCTCTGGGTCTCTCTCAGTCTCTGTCTCTCTTGGTCTGTCTCTCTCATTCTCCATATCTCTTAGTCTCTAGGTCTCTCTTGGTCTCTTGGTCTGTCCTTCTGTCTCATCTGCTTTCCATCTCTCAGTCTCTGTCTCTCTCTTGTTGGTCTTTCCCTCCCTTGGTCTCTGTCTCAGTTCCTGGGTCTCCCTCACCCTCTGTCTCTGTCTCTCTCAGTCTCTGTCTCTCTCTTGTTGGTCTGTCTCTCCTTTGGTCTCTGTCTCAGTTCCTGCATCTCCCTCACCCTCTGTCTCTGTGTGTGTCTGTCCTGGCCCTTGTGGCTCCCCAGACCTCCCTGTCTCTGTTTGTCTCTGTCCCAGCCCCTGTGGCTCCCCCAGGGCTCCCTTGGCCTCTGTGCCCCCCACCTACCGTCCTGATGTCCCTGTGTTCCTGCAGCGCGCGCTGTACCAGTCCTCGCACGTGGACGAGAACGATGTGCAGACAGTGTCGCACAAGTGCCTGGTGGTGGGCCTGGAGCAGTACGAGCAGATGCTGAAGACCAAGAAGTACCAGGACAGCGAAGGCCTATACTACCTTGCGGGCACCTACGAGCCCACCACGGGCATGATCTTCTCCACGGACGGCGTGCCTGTGCTCTGCTGAGCCTGCCAGGCCCCGCGGGCGGCCAGGGACACCTCTCCATCACTGCCACGGCACGGGGACCACGTGCGTTGTGTGCATGTGAGCGCGCCTGCGGGCATGTGCATGGGGCCAGGTGTGCACGTGGACGCCCGGGCGAGCGTGTGTGTGCATGTGTGTGCCCGTGTGCATGCCACACGCCTCCTGCCCCACCTTCCCACCCCTCAGCGCCCCGAGGACAGGGGCTCCCTCAGCTGTCAGGGTATGGCTCTGCCGTTCCCGTCAGGGCAGTCTTGGCCAGGACCGGCCCCTTCCTGCCCAGCACGTTGCAAGCACTTGGCCAGGCCGGCCCTCCAGGCTGCTGCTGCGTGGGGCCCCGAGGCCCATGCAGACTGGGGATTTGGCGGGGAGGGGGCTTCTAAGGAACCAAACTGACGCTTGCTCTGGGCTTCCCGGGCACCCTTAACACGGAGCCCACCCCATAGCCTCCCAACGTTGCATGGGATGGGGCGGTCTGATGCCAGCTGGCCTCTCTGACTGTGCCAGGCGTCCGGCTCCTACCTTCTCAGGATGGCCTGGACTTGGGGAACAGAGCTGGGTCGGGGTGCAGCCCGGGAGCATCATAGGTGCCAGGTGGAGGGGGCCCAGCAAAGGCCCACCCTGGCCCAAACCCTCACACTACAGAAAACCCCAATGGTGCTGAAACCCTTGCCTGGCCATGTCCAGCCCCTCCCCACCCAGGAGGGAGGTGGCCCTTCTTAACCTGTACAGTTTTATTGTACCAAGAGAGACTCGCCCCCGCCCTGTATCATAAGCCTTTAAATGGAGTCAACTTTTTAATTATATATATAAAGAAGATAAATATATATAAATATATATAAATATAAACTTTTTAAAACTGTGAAAAATAGCTATGAAATTATAAAAAAAGCGAACACATTCTGACGTGCAGAATATTATTTTTTATTTCCTGTTAGATTGTAGTGTCTAGCACTGGCCTCAGCGGCCTCCCAGTCCCCAGCACACTCCCCGCCCGATCCCCAACCCCACCAAGTGTACTGTACTCGCCCCCCCAGGTTAGAGAAGAGTTAGGGAGAGAAGAGGGAAGAGGCAGGAGCCGGCCCGAGCCCGTGGTCCCTGCTTGGGCCCCAGAAAGCACTTAACCAGGCCCCAAGCCTTCCAGGAAACCAAGGCCTCGACCAGACAATCTTGAGGGAAGGAAGCCAGACTTTGGGTTTGTTTTTTGGGGGAATTATTGTTTTTTTAAGTTTCTTTTGGAATTTTGTTTGTTGGCAAATTCTGTGTGATCTTTTTTCATAAAAAAAGAAAAGCAAAGAAAAAGATTTAATTGGAAAAATAAAATTGTGTGGAGTGGTTTATTTCAGGGGCTGGAGCAGGGGTATCTGGGGGGGATTCTGCCATATGAGGGCACCGAGAAGCAGGATTCAGCTGGAGGTTGGGTGCCACCCAGGCAGGGAGAGTGACCACATGCAGCCATCTAAATCTGAGCTAATCGGCTGGGCGAGGTGGCTCACGTCTGTAATCCCAGCACTTTGGGAGGCCAAGGCGGGCGGATCACGAGGTCAGGAGTTTGAAACCAGCCTGACCAACATGGTGAAACCCGTCTCTACTAAAAATGCAAAAATTAGCCAGGCGTGGTGATGGATGCCTGTAGTCCCAGCTACTCAGGATGCTGAGGCAAGAGACTCACTTGAAGCCAAGAGACAGGTTGCAGTGAGCTGAGATCGCGCCACTACACTCTAGCCTGGGCGACAGAGTGAGACTTCATCTCAAAAAGAAAAAGCAAAGCTGCATGCTCCCAGCCATGCCTACAACAGAAGCAAACGACACTAATGGTAAGTCAGAGTGGCCTGAAGCCCTCACCTAGATGGGGGTGGACGGCATCTCTGCACTGGGGCCTGGGAAAGCTGTAGGTGGGGGTCTGGCTGCCTAGCAGCGACTATGGCCTGGTCAGTGTGGGTGGCCAGCAGAGGACATTTGGGGCTTTGTGAAGAGGGTAACCCAGGGAGGACAGCCAGCTGGCCTCAGGCAAGGGAAGGGCCCGGCATGGGCTCTGGGAAATACTCTGGTGTCACCTGGCACAGACTTGACCCATGTGGCCGCACACCTGGGCCCCAGGGAGGATGCCTGCCCTGTGGGTCATGACGGCTGCAGACCTGGAGCATGTGGTGGCCCTCATGCCTGCCCTTAAGGTACCCACATCAAAATGTGGACCAGCCCCACTCCTTGGGGAAACTAAGGACAGAACAGGCTGGGCATGGTGGCTCATACCTGTAATCCTGGCACTTTGGGAGGCCGAGGCAGGAATAACACTTACTTGAGGCCCAGAGTTTGAGACCAGCCGTGATGGCACCAATGTACTCCAGCCTGGGCAACAGAGCAAGAGCCTGACTCAGAGAAATTTTAAAAATGAGGCACAGGCCGGGTGTCGTGGCTCACACCTGTAATCCCAGCACTTTGGGAGGCTAAGGCAGCTGGATCACTTGAGGTCAGGAATTCAAGACCAGCCTTGGCCAAATGCTGAAACCCTGTCTCTACTAAAAATGCAAAAATTAGGCATAGGGGCATGTACCTGTAATTCCAGCTACTTGGGAGACTGAGGCAGGAGAATCACTTGAATCCAGGAGGCGGAGGTTGCAGTGAGCCAAGATCACAGCACTGCACTCCAGCCTAAATGACAGAGTGAAACTCCATCCAAAAAAAAAAAGCATAGAACAGTACGGGAATTTGTCCAAAATGCACAGGTCAGCGAAAGGGCTGAGGCTCGAGGCCAGGAGCCTCTGACTCCTAGGACGCAGTGCAGTCCCCAAGAGGCTGGGGCCAAGCCTCACTTGCTGTTTCCCTCTTCAAATGGGCTGCTTGTGGCCATCCTCCCTGATCCTCACGAAGCCTGGGGGGTCATCAAGGTGGGCTACAAACCCCAAGTGCTCCCAGCTCCCACCCCACCACCCAGCGCTGCCCAGAAACCAAGCCTACCCAGTGTGGGGACACCCTCCTGCTCCCTGACCCACCTCACCCATGGGAAGACCGAGGCCCGGCTTACGCAGGGCAGGTTGATTCCCACTGGGATCCTGCAGTGGCCGTCCCAGCCCCCAGCCATACACAAACTCTGCTTCGAGGCTTTGGTGCAGCAGTCTGCCTTCATCTTTTAATGGCCAGTGCGGTACAGTTAGTGAACAGACGGGTGACAGGACTCAGCAGGGGGTGAAACAGCAGTCACAGCCAGGGGTCTGGAAGCATGGGCCGTCCTCCCCCTGGAAACAGTCTCTGAAAGGACACCCTTGGAATCCCCCAACAAGGGCCTGGTATTCCAGGGGACCCAGGCTGGAGTGACCCTCCCCTCAGCCCCTCCCTAGTTGCTAAGCACCCTTGGGTCTGTCAGGTCCCTTGCCAAATGAGGGTCAATAACCAGGTCAAGCTGACTCCAGCCAGGGTGTGGGGACCCCAAACTTAGCTTTGTGTGGCTTCGCAGACCCCAAACTTAGCTATCTCCTCTTATCACAGGCCAGAGAGGCAATAGGGGGTTCCCTAGTCAGGCATAGCCCCCTGGCCTGTTGCATCGTGTGGGTGTGTGGGGAGGTCCTCACATGCTCAGCTGGCAGCACCACTGTGGTTCCCGAGAGGCTGATGCAGACTGCAGGCAGGTCTGTTTGGAGCTCCGACTTCTTCATGGCTAACGTGTTTTGTTTGAGAGAAGCTGTCTCTAAGAGCGAGGAAGGAAGGAGGAAGCCTGAGGGTGCCAAGGTGGGGGGCTGTCCCCCTCCTCTCAGGGCCCCAGGGTTCATGAGGAAGGGTCCCTGGTGGAGGCTGGGCCAGGCGGTGCTCTGATCGCGGTCACTGGGTGTGCGCACGGGCAGCTGCCTTCTGTCCTGGGTGGGGACAGTGGTGCCTGCGACCCCACAGAGCGCTGGCTGGGTTGGCACTGGGGCCGCTGGACACAGATGGAAGGTAGAGGCAGGTGTGAGACCAAACACAGAACACAGTGCTGGGCAGAGCCCAGGTCACAGAAACGCGTTCTGGTCCTCGAAGGACGCTGCAGAACTTCAGGGTGGGGGATGGCTGGACCCAGAGGGGGTGGCGCTGCTGGCACAGGGGAGGCTCGGGGCCCCCGCAGGCACTGAGGTGGGGATGGGGGAGGGGCCCTCTTGCCTTGGGGCCCCTGGTCAGGCCCTCAGTGTCCTTGGCAGTGGGCGGGGCTGGCTCAGAGGCCTGTGAGGATGGAGCTGTTGGCAGTGGAGGCGTGGAGACAGCTGCCGTGGGCATCGCGGGTGAGGCTGTAGGTGCAGTAGGCCACGGCGGAGCCCAGCGTCAGCCCCGACATGTAGGACACGGTCATGGTGTTCCCTGTGGATGACACTGGACTGAGGGGGGTGAGGGCAGGGGCGGCCATGGCTGCTCAGGTGTGAGGAGTAATGACAGCTGCCAGCTCCTGGGAGCCCGTGACACCGCACGAACCACTGGAGCTGCCCCTCCAGGACCACTGCCCTCTTGCTCCTCCTGGGAGCACCCTCCCCAGATCCTGTCCTTCCTCGTTCCTTCTCCCTGAGGCCATCTACTCTGCACCCCAGGCCTCGCCTGCTTCTCTGGGTTCCCAGACTGGAGTGCAGTGTCACAGTCATAGCTTCCTGCAGCCTTGACCTGCTTGGCTGATGCTCCCACTGCAGCCTCCTGAGTAGCTGGGACCACAGGCACACACCACCATGCCTGGATAATTTTGAAAAATTGTTTGTAGAGACTTACATTGCCCCGGCTGGTCTCAAGCTTTGGGGCTCAAGTGATACTTCTACCTTGGCCTCTCAAAATGCTGAGATTACAGTCCTGAGCCAGTGTGACAGGCCTCATCCCTCCCCATTTTAATCTCCAGTCTCGGCTAGGCAAGGTGGCTCACACCTGTAATCGCAGCACCTTGGGAGGCCAAGACGGGCAGATCACGAGATCAAGAGTTCGAGACTAGCCTGGCCAACATGGTAAAACCCCATCTCTACTAAAAATACAAAAATTAGCTGGGTGTGGTATAGTCCCAGCTTCTCCAGAGGCTGAGGTTGCAATGAGCTGAGATCATGTCATTGCACTCCAGCCTGGGCAAGAGAGTGACTCTCCATCTCAAAAAAAAAATTGTATAGAGGAGGGGTCTCACTCTGTTGCCCAGGCTGGTCTTGAACTCCTGGGCTCTAGTGATCCACCCGCCTTGGCCTTCCAAAGCGCTGGGATTGCAGGTGTGAGCTGCTGTGCCCGGCCCGGCCTGTGTCCACATCTGGACAGTCAGCTCCACAACACAGGGAGGGTCGTTTTGTCCCCACTTCGTCCCCAGTGCCTTGAAAAGCATTTGGTCCACAGAAGGGGCTCACCAAGTAGTTGTAGGACAAACGAATGAGTGAATGAATTGAGTGAGTGAAGAATGTCCCCACACCTACAGCCTCCCAGACGTTGACTTGAACCCCCGGAACCCAAATGCACCTTCTTGTGGTCTGGCCTAGGTTTCCTCAAGAAGGGGGCGTCACGCTGCTGGGAGGAGCCCCCCAACGCCCCGCGGGCCTCACCTGCCAGCTCCCGCTGCTTGGGGCTCACTTTGCCGGCTGCCAGGATCATGGGCACGCTGCCGAAGTAGCCGTTGCTGATGCCCATGAGCAGTGAGAAGATGCAGGGCCAGGCGGGGTGCCGCAGGGCGGGCATGCCGCTGGGGTAGACGCACAGTATGAAGAGGGGGATGAAGACCACCCGCAGACAGGAGCAGGCCAGCAGGTGGGTGCCCCGCCAGTCCACTGGCAGGGCTGCCAGGATCTGTGGAGAGCCAGGCACATGGGTGCCCTGCCCTGGCCACAGGCCCCCTTCCCCTCACACCCCCAGCCCCAAACACTCCTGGACCCATCCAGCTCAGCCTGCATCCCAGCCCTTCTCCGGATTGGCCCTCTAAAATCCCCCAAATTGGCCAGACGCCGTGGCTCATACCTGTAATCCCAGCACTTTGGGAGGCCAAGACAGGTGGATCACCTGAGGTCAGGAGTTCAATACCAGCCTGACCAACATGGTGAAACCCCATCTCTACTAAAAATACTAAAAATTAGCTGGGCATGGTGGAGGACGCCTGTAATCCCAGCTACTCAGGAGGCTGAGGCAGGAGAATTGCTTGAACCTGGGAGGCGGAAGTTACATTAAGCTGAGATCAAACAATTGCTCCAGCCTGGGCGAGAGAGTGAAACGCTGTCTCAAAATAAATGAATAATCCCCCAAATTACAGAGTGAGACTCCATCTCTAAATAAATACAAAATCCCCCAAATTCTACTTTTTTTTCCTTAAAGTCAGGGTATTGCTCTATCACTCAAGCTGGAGTGCAGTGGTA